CGAAAGTCTGTGGCGTCTATACCACAGTCAGCTGGCAACGGGGACGAGTTGTATATGCGATATATGGAGGGTGAAGGCGTCGAGACTGACTTCGTTCAGAAGCAGGTCCCGAGTGAGCTAGAGGTATCAGGTGGTTGGATACGTAATATCCGTCAAGCGAAGGCGTCGAGAGTCTGTGGCGTTTATAATACAGTCAGCTGTGAATCGGAGGAAGACACTTGGGTTTGAAACAGACAAGACTAAAGATATGTTCAAGCATTGGTTGGAGTAGAAAAACTTTCTAGCTCCAATGTTATGGGATTCTAAGGGTGGGTGGGTGATATGTCTGTAACTATGAATGCAACTTGACTTTAAAACGGCTCGACCAAGAGCTGCTGAACCCTAAACCCTAAACCCTAAACCCTAAACCCCTAAACCCTAGCCTAAACCGAGCAAGAACACGCCGAAGGCGGAGAGCTGGCAGAGCGCCTGCCGTCAGCATGGACTCGAAGGCGGATGAGCCTTAGTTAGGGACCCAAAAAGGACGTAAGTTAGGGTTTAGGGTTTAGGGTTTAGGGTTTAGGGTTTAGGGTTGAGGTTTAGGGTTTAGGGTTGAGGTTTAGGGTTTAGGGTTTAGGGTTTTATAGGGATATCCCTTCCTTATTGGGCTTCATGACAAGGGGGTTTATATGGGATATTCCTTATCGCAAAATTTTGCTTATGTGCTTTTTTAGGGCCATACTTAGTAACGACAAGTCTCGCACAGGATGGTGGTATTCACGATCACTTCTTTCCTGGTTCATGCGATGTAGAAACCTAAACCCTAAATCCTAAACTGTGGATTTCGACATTTGTTTGGGGTCGAAGACCTTGGGGCAGAAAGGGGGTCGAAGTTGAACGGTACATGCTTTAGACGGTTTAGAGCTTAAGTTTAGGGTTTATAGGGGTTAGGGGTGTAAGGGTTTGGGGTTCAGGGGCTTCGGGTTAAGGGGATCTGGCGAAAGATGCTGTGGTGACCCTGCTACACGTTGTGGCTTGCACTGGTGAAGCGAACTCCTCTCCCTGCGCCGAAAGCCGAACACAGAAGGAAATGCCTTAAATCTTGGAGCATTCTGCCCCTACATATACATAAACCCAAAAGCCCTAAACCTTTCTGTTCCTTGGAAAGGCTGCTGCGAGTTCAATAGAACGTCGGCCTTTACCTGCTGGGTGCAATGCACGATTTAGAGTTTAGGGTTTAGGGGAAGTGGAACAGTTTTGTGAGGTAATCCTATTATACTATATTTTTATATGTGAACACCCCCAAACCCTAAAACCCTAAACCCCTAAACCCTTCAGCCAGCAATCGGCCCTGAATCTCTGCACCGGTGGCCCATTTCTGCAGGCGTGATAAAGTAAAAGCCCCGGAGCCCGGAAGCCACAAAGCCGAATATAGGGGCCTTCAGAATTAGAATAGGGTTTGGGGTAGATTGATTATACAATAATTACGAGAAGGAACCCCCAAACCCCATTCTAATTACTAAGGCCCCTACCCTAAGCCCCTAAACCCCTAGGCCCTAAACCCCTAAACCCCTAAACCCCTAAACCCCTAAACCCCTAAACCCCTAAACCCTGAGCTTAAGCTGCAAGCTACCGGCTTGTTCAGGTAGACGATATCGTTGAAGAGCTGAAAGGCCACCCCCACGGTCGGTTGTGAGAGTTGGGGTTCAGGATTTGGGGTTTTAGGGCGATCTCACTGTAGGGCTTAGGGCTTATAAGGAAGACCCTAAACCCCTAAACCCTAAACCCCTAAACCCAAAACCCTAAAACCATCTCTACTTTGAAGATCCTGGGCACCTGAACCAAAGCAGGCCCCTCCAGAGCCTCAAACCGAAGCCCCGGAAGGGTCGGGAAGATGAACCCCAAAGCCCCGGACGAAAAACGGCATGTCAGCATAAGGAGCCCAGTTCAACATACCATAGCATGCATATACATAAACACACACATGCATACATGTAGTTATTCACGTACATACATGCATACATACATACATACATACATACATACATACATACATACATACTTACATGCATCCATGCATACATACATACATACATACATACATACATACATACATACATACATCATGCATACGTACATACATATGTACACACACACCCGTCCATCCATCCATCCACCCACCCACCCATCCATGCATGCATGTATGTGCCTGTGCATGCATAGGCAAATGCATGCATACACACATACATGCATGATTACATACATACATGCATATACATTCGAACATATATATATATATATACACACACATACACACATATGTATAAGTCAAATATAGCTTCCTGTTTCAGCAACTTGTTTTCAAAACTTCCTTAACAAGACCCTGAACCCTAAACCCGAAATCCCACCACAGAGAAAAGAAGCGCTAAGCGCCCCGAGCCGACACGAGCTTTGCATTCACAGAAGACTAAGGGGCTTTCTCGGGTGGGACATAGGCTTTGGGGTTTTAGGGTATAGGGTTTTGGGTTGGGGTTTCAAGGTTTTGGGTTTAGGGCTGTCTCATCTTATTTTGGCATGCGTTTCGTGCGGGGTTTGAACAAGCTCATAGAAAGGGTTAACATGGCTTTAGAAGGCTGTGCAGGATGTCACGGCGGACATGTTAGGTGTTTTGCCTGTTTTGCAGGGTTTTAGTCAGGCCTGACAACTAAACCCTAGAAGTGTTATTCGTTGGGTTTCCTTAATATAGTTATAGATGTTCAGGCTTCTATACTAAACCAATTCAATCCTTCGTGCAGGCAGTCGGCTCCAATGTCTTAATCCCGAACCTTCGAACTGAAACTTAACCCTTAACTCCTAGGCCCACCTATGGCCCAAAAAAGCCTTGAACATTGGAGCTCCTGCTAGTATGTTAGGGTTTTGGATTCAGGACTCAGGGTTTAGGATTGTCGCGTGAGGCTTTTAGGGATTAGGGTGTAGGGTTCAGGGTTTCGGGTTTGGATTTCCTTAATTTTCGTTCCAACACAGTAGGCTTTTGTCGTGACAGTGACTGGGTGCAGTTCACGTGCCGGGCTGTCGCTGCCCATGCTGCAGTGCCTAAAAAACTGGGGCGCTTCGGGTTTGGTCTTGGGGCTTCAGGGTAGCACTACTCGGACAACAGAACTCGAACCTTCAACGTAAGAGTTGAAGCCCCGAAGTACTAAAACAGAATCGCAGGTGAAGGAAGGGAGAGCTGAAAGACAAAGCTGAGCTGAAGAACTCAATCCCCCCAACACCGGATCGCAGCAAGCGTGTGAGCCACGAAGCCTTCGGGAGGCTTAACTCTGCTCGAGGCTTCGGAACTGGTCAAGGCAGGATTTTCGGGCTTATGGTTTAGGGTTTAGGATTTAGGGTTTAGGGTTTAGGGTAGGGGATTCGGGTGTAGGGATTATATGATATAGTGTGCATTGAACTGTGTGAAGAGGGGATTGGGGCCTCAGGGATTGTGTGATTTAGTGTGCCTTGAACCGTGAAGAGCCGTGGAAACTTTCAGGATCAAGGGTCTTGCATGACTCAGGGCTCAGCGTAGCTGTGCGTGGATCAAGATGTCCACAGACGGCCTGGAGATGTGCCTGGGTGTCGCCTGTGAGTTTCCAGAAGAGGGAGTGGATGTCTTCAAAACTCCTTCGCAGATCTCTGCAGCAAGTCCTGTGGAAGAGGAGATGGAGATTTTCATTCACGTCCTGGCATCGATGCAAGCCACACGGCCAGAAATCGTCCGAGGCATCCCGGTGTGCAGAGCTCTGCAGCTCGCACCTCTCTTATGGGCACGAGGAGACCTCGATGCGCTCCACAGGTACAGCAAGCCCAACAAAACCCGAACGCCCCAAACCGCAAGCCATAAATCTTAAAACCCCAAAACCCTTGAAACCCTAAACCCGAAAGACCGAAGCCCTAGAGCCTTGAAAACCCCAGCCCCTAAACCCTTACCCCTAAACCCCTAAAGACCCTAAACCCCTAAAGACCCGAAGCCTTAAACACGAAACCCTATACTAAACCCGAAACCCTAAACCCTTAAACACAATAGCCTAACCCCTTAAAGACCCTAAACCCCAAACCCCTAAAGGCCCGAAGCCCTAAACCCTTGAGAGCCCTAACCCCTAAAGACCCGAAACCCTAGAACTTAGGGGTACTTAGAAATAATTTTCATCTTTGGCTACTATAAACCCTAAGAAGCAGCTAAAATGATGGTTTTTGCTAGGCGTCTAAGTTCAGTATAGAGAAGGTGCAGCAAGGCGACTCCGAAGCTCACTGAGTTTTGGTCCCACAGCTGGCAAACGAAGGCCTGGCTTGAGAACTACTCTAAGAGGATCCTCGGGGTTTAGGGTTTAGGGATTAGGGTTTAGGCTTTAGGGCTTTAGGGTTTAGGGTTTTAGGGTTTAGGGTTTAGGAATTAATATAGGGGCCTAAATAATTACCTATTCTATTTTGGGGGCTCCTTACTATACTTATACTATAATGGGCCCCAAAGCCCTAGTCTAATAATTAAGGCACCTATATTAGGGGTTTAGGGTTTGAGGTTTAGGGTTTAGGGTTTAAGATCTTGGGACTTGGTAACGGAAAGAAAGTGAATATAATCCAGTCACAAGTACGTAGAGCCCCAATTTCAGTACTTGTAGCCCTCCCCTGATCCTCGTCCTTAATAAACGTGTATACCCCACAACCCGATTCCAATCGTGAATGCCCCTGAAAAACACCAAGGCTTGGCTGAAGTATATCAGCATACTTTTCCTGAACAACAGCTTTCCCGCGTTTGTGGTGGGTACTGTCCTGGCCTCAGTATCCTTCGCGCTTTGGGTGGCTGATATCCTTCCGACATGGTCTAGAAGGCACCAGTACGGCTGGAGTCTTGTGACTGGTGTCGTGAGCTACTACTTGACCTTGTTGTTTTGGCGCAGCCGGAAACTGGCTTTTCTTGATATTGCCTGCATCAACCAAACAGATAAAGTCCGGAAGACGGAAGGCCACTGGGCTGCTGTTCAGGACCTTGAACTAAGTTATGATAATAAGGAAGCCCTATTCTTCACTATATGTCCCCATTCTGGTAACCTAGACCCTAAACCCCAAACCCTGAACCCCGCACCCTAAACCCTGAACCCTAAAACCCCTAAACCCCTAAACCCTCATATATCCCCCATTATCAAGTTCCCTAAGCCCTAAACCCTAAACCCCAAACCAGCGACCAGGCTTGGTGAGCATGGGGGCTATATTGAAAAACTCTGATCAGCTCCTCGTGCTCTGGGATGCGACGTATGCCGCGAGGTTGTGGTGCATGTTTGCAGCCTGATATCTCCTTGCTCTAACCCTAGGGTTTAGGGGTTTAGGGCTTAGGGGTTTAGGGGTTTAGGGTGTAGGAGTTAGGAGTATAGGGGTTTAGGGGTTTAGGG